TAGTCTCATCAAAGACTCACTCATGTACATCTATGCTCATCAAAGCTAAGCCATGCCATATCAGTGAAACATGGGAGTGCGTGCCACATCAATGACACGGCCTTCTCATAGGTCTTAATGAGATTTACCTCACTGGGTAACCGTATCTTATCATACGGGGACAACCGTATCGACGGCCATCAAGCTCACATCGATAGGCTACATGTTCATTTTCATACATAGATCACACCAAACTTTTATCATAAATAAATCACACATATGCATAGATAATTTTTGAATAACCCATCTGGAAATTTCGGATTGATGATAGCAAATCAGAAAAGGTGAGAACTGAGGCTTGACTCCTCAAACACCTACATTATGACAAGATCCTACAATGAATATCTATCTTGACTTTAATCGGAAATCACAAAAACAGAGCTAGTGGAACTTGTTTCGACTAAGTAGTTCGTGAAGTCCTGTGGAATTGGAACACTAAGACTCAGCTCTTAACTTGATCAAAACACATACACCAGATCATATAAATCCATCTGAGGATTGACCAAGTCAAACTCACATAAAAACTAAAAGCAAGTCGATTCCCAAAATTTCATAAAAAATCATGTTCGGAAATAGAAATCATTTAATCGCATGAAAATAGATGGTCAAGCTACCCTACGAATTAAGCTCTGAAAATTTATACTCTATTTTAAACTCAAAATACTCTATTTTATAAAATTCGAACAGTAATTCAGCAAAAAGGGCACCTTAATTCATACTCAGACTTAATGAATGAAACTGAACCTGAAAATTTTACACACCAACCTACAGTATGCCAAAGCCCACTTATAAAAATTTCAGTCTTAAATGATAACTGCTGCTATTTTTAAAAATTCAAACGAGCAACAGCAGTTTATCAAATTTAAATCCAAACTGAAACCAAACGGACTCTAAATATTCCCACATTTTACAAACATGATCAAACACCTAAAATATGACTCTCAGTAAAAATTCAGAATTTTCCATGCAGTAACCGATTTTAAATATTCAAACAACATTTCTGCAGATTCAATAAATAAAATATTAACCATATCAAATCAACTCCAAAAATTCTAAAAATTTAACACAACACATATAAGTCACAGAGGCATGACATATTCGAATTTCAGCTCATTTTAGTCAGGCATGAGTTTATTATGCATTTAATAATATTCTGAACAGATTACAAATTTAATTATTAAAAATAGCTACAGGTCTCCAAAAAATTATATAAATTTTACACAAGGCAGGAAATGAACATATAACACATCCCTCAAAATTTCACATCGTTTCGAGCAGCGAGCTATTTTTAAAAATTCGAACATCAAAACAGCGATTAACAAGCTCGACTACTTGACAATTAAATCATAACATGAAATTTATCGTCCGAGGCCTTTTCATAAGACCAAGGACTCGACATTGTTCCATTATCCACCGACTTACACGACTTTCGAGGTCTCATTCGATTTTTGAGAAAATCGAAGAGATCCCGAACATACGAACACAATAATCACAACAATTCACATATTTTGAACATATTCACACAATAAATTCACAATATTTATATAACACGAGCATTACATGAATATGAACAATTCAACGAACATATATAAATTAAACGAGACGGAAAAACGATGAGGTACCGTTCTCGAGAAACTCGAAAACGTCACGAACACGAAGCTCGACGGTAAACTCGTCTCGCCGGAAAAAGGAAGGCTCGATGTGCACGGGAGGAAGAGGGAAGCCTGCTGCTGGTTCACGGGCTCGCGGGGAACGGAAAGGAGGGGTCGCCGGACGCTGCTCGAAGGGACGTCGAGCTCGCCGGAAAATTCAGAGCTTCGCGGCGCGGCAAGAGGGAAGGCTGCTCGAACTCGCCGGAAAAACGCGGAGCAGGGTCGCCGGACTGGTTCAAGGTCGCCGGAAAATTCAACTGGCGGATGAAGAGGATGCTAGACGATGATGACGAAGGTGATGAGATGGTGATGATGACGCGCGAGCGTGATGATGGTGATGATGAAGGAAGATCTATGAGGAGGGGTGATGAAGGACTGAACTAGCGAGAGAGATGGAAGAGAAGACGATAAAAAACTGCGGGCGATGAGGAAGAACAAAAACGAGAAGGACCATATATATTTATACTTATACATGATGATATTAGGTTTAAGAAAAAGTCTTGTTGTCCAAGACAAACACAAGAGAATCACGTCCAAACAAAAAGAAAGGGGAAATCTGTCGGGCCGGACCCGAGAAATTTGGGAACAATAAGATTTTTGGGCCGGTTCGGACAACAAAACAGCTCACGGGCTCAAATAAAAATTTAAACAGATATATTCGGGCCCAATTCGATTCCAACAAAATTATCGGGCTCGATTTTGAATGCAAACGCGCGATAAAAATAAACCGAAAAATAAATATATATACTTTACACATTATTACATACACATTTATTCATATTAATAATTTAGTAAATCACAAAATCAATTAGACAATTAGACATATAACATTTAATCACATTTGACAAATAGATAAACATAATGGCATTCAATAAAATAAAATATAAATATTATCACCAATTTAATAATAACAATAATAATAGCAATATAAATAATAATAATAAATCCCAAATAATCCACAAATAAACGGGGCATTACAGTCTACCCACCTAACAAAGGATTCCATCCTCGGAATTCGAAATAAAACAACGATAACTAGAACACGAAAGAGTACAAAGAGATCAAAAAGCGAAGTTCGGATATCTCCTCCTAATCTCGGCCTCCTTCTCCCAAGTCGCCTCGGACTCATCGTGTCGGCTCCACAGCACCTTCACTAAACTCACTGCCCGGTTCCTCAACTGATGGACCTTCTGGTCCAGTACGGCAACCGGCACCTCCTCATAGGTGAGGTCTCGCTCGACCTGCAGCTCGCTGAAGTCCACCACATGGTCGGGGTCATGTACATATCTACGCAGCATGGAGACATGAAACACATCATGCACCCCTGACAAGTCCGGTGGTAAAGCTAACCGATACGCCAAGTTCCCGACTCGAGCTAGGATCTCGAAGGGTCCGATATAGCGAGGCCGAAGCTTCCCCTTCTTCCCGAAGCGAATAACACCCTTCATGGGCGAGACCTTCAGAAAGACGTGATCACCAACAGCATACTCGTGCTCTCGCCGATCCCGATCTGCATACACCTTCTGCCTCTCCTGGGCAGACCGGATATGCTTCCAGATCGACTCAACAGCCTCCGAAGTCCTACGAACGAATTCGGGACCCATGACCTTCCTCTCTCCGACCTCATCCCAATACAAAGGTGTTCGGACCTTCCGTCCATACAAAGCTTCGTAAGGGGCCATCTTGATCGAGGAGTGGTAGCTGTTGTTATAAGACAATTCGACCAACGGGAGCGCAGTCTCCCAAGTCAGGCTCCGGTCCAAGACCACAGCCCTCAAAATATCCTCCAAATACTGGATCGTCCGCTCCGACTGACCAATTGTCTGAGGATTGAAGGCGGTACTGAACTCCAACCTTGTCCCCATGGCTCGGTGCAGAGTCTTCCAGAACTGGCTCGTGAACTTCGAGTCACGATCAGACACAATCTCCACGGGCACACCATGAAGTTTGATGATCTCATCAACGAACAACTCGGCATACGCACTAGCCTTCATAGTCGTCCAGACAGGCAGAAAGTGGGCGGACTTCGTGAGTCGATCTACAATCACTCAAATAGAATCGTGACCGGATCTCGATCTCGGCAAACCTACCAAGAAATCCATCGTGAGTCGCTCCCATTTCCACATGGGAATCTCAAGCGGCTGCAACATGCCTCCGGGTTTCTGGTGCTCAGCCTTCACTTGCTGACACACTAGACAACCACTCACGAAATGGGCCACTTGCCTCTTCATACCTCGCCACCAAAACGACTTCCGGAGGTCCTGATACATCTTCGAGCTACCAGGATGGATGGTGTACGGGGCACTATGGGCTTCTCTCAATATCTCCTTTCGCAGTTCCCACACCTTAGGAACACACAGTCTACCCTCGAAGACTAATGCCCCATCAGATGCGACTGTGAATCCTCCAACTCGACCGGCTTTCATCAACTCCTTCATTCGGCATAGGAAACGATCATTCGGCTGCTCGGCGATAATTCTCTCACGAAGAGTCGGCCCCACAACCAAGGCGGTTAACACACCTCCGGCTGTCGAAGTCGACTCCACTGCCTCTAACTGCAGTCGCTCGAACTCCCGAACTAGGACATCTTGATCGGTGAATAAGCAAGACAACTGGCCATGACTCTTCCGACTCAACGCGT